CTCGAAAGCACCGACTTATCCGTCGGGGGAGTAGCACCCTTCAGGAACTCCCTCGGACTGAGGGTGCCGTGCATAATGGCGGTCCCCTTTGTGATGGAGAACTGCACATTATCCTGGGGCCACGTCAATTCACCTCCCTGGCCCGGGGGAGCGTTGGGAATTGCAGTCACCACATTCGCCGGAGTACCCGTCGAGGAATGGCCTTCGGAAATATCTACGGGAGCATCTTTGACCCCGGCACCTTTCTTAGCCTTCTTGCCGGAGGCCTCAATAGCTTTTGCCGAGGCCTTCCTCTTGGCCGCCTCGGTCTTCAGGGCACCAGCAACCTCGACAGCAGCTTGAGGGTACCCTCCGGTCTCCTTGTCCTTCACCGCTTCCCCCTTCGGGAAGAAGTCTTCAACAGGCCGCTGCTGGGACGACCCCTCTTTTTTCTTCTTCGGCTCCTTAGCCAGTTGTTTTTTCAGCTTGGCGAAATTCTTGGCGTCCATTTCCGGTCCCGCAAAAGAAGAGAAAAGTATGCAATCGTCAGAATACAACGAGGTTGAAAGAAGTTCCTAAGTGCACGACTAAAATCCCTCGGCAATCACCTTCGGCGCTCTCATAAACCCTGTCTATCAGGGGGTACTCCTCATCGGCCTCCCCCACCAAGCGGAACCGCCGAAAGTTAAGCTTGAAGAGTTCTTCCGGGAGGGTAGCATCCTTAATGGTCTTCAATTTGTCTGACCCCTCCGGTTTCTCGGCCAGCTTCCTCCCATTCTTCACAAGAGCAGCATTCCCGACCTTCGGGTGCCTCTTGAAGTTGTCCCGAAGGGGGGCGGCGAATGGATTTTCCGCCATTCGAACATAGCAGAACTTGTCCTTCCATCCCTTGTGGGACGAAGGGACCTCGGAAAACAGTCTGAACTCGGGGATCTGTTGCAAGTTGGCGAACCCCCCGGCATTAGAGTGCCCTCCCCGGCAAAGATTGAACGACAGGAAGAACTGGTCCAAAGAAGGCTCCACCTTCCTCTCCCGGCACAGGGACAGAAACCCCGCCAGATAAGAGTGGCTATTGGGAGTCAACTGGCAAGGGGCAAGCTTAACAAAGCGGAGATATTGTAGCACGAAGGGATGGAGGGGGAACCGGAGGCCCAGCTCCACCGACAGGATATGCACCGCGAAACAGCCGGCGGGGGCGTGAAGAAGCACGTCATTCGGCCCCGGCTCCACCACCTGTGCCGAAGGCCCAACGAAGAACTGTGTCGCCACGTACTCCGCATGTGTAGCCTTCGTCCTCACCTCTAGAGCAGCAGTGTTCAGATATGAGTGCCCTTCGGGTATCCCTACGGGCCTTCCGGCGTCAACAGCTGCTTGTTTCCTTTTCGAGGGCCCCCTGGTCTTCTTCTTCCTCTTGCCCGGAGCCACACTCAGGGGTTCCGGATCGAGGGGTCTGGAGCTTCCGGCATCGGCGTCATTATGAGCAGGTAGGACGGCAATGGTGACCTTCTTCCTCTCCTTTTCCTCCTCCTCCTCAGCCACTTGGATTGCGAGGGCCAGCTCCTCGTCCTCATTCACTTGCTCGAAGTCTTCGGCCTCCATCTCGGCCCGAAGAGCGTTTTGAACCTCCTCAGCTACCACGTGGTCATTATTGGCCGACAGCGTCTCACTCGAGGATTCCATCTCGGATATACTCTCGGACTGCACCGAAGGCTCTATGGAAATATTTTGAGAATCGCTTTGCGAAGACATGTCCGAAGGGTTTAAAACAGAGGGCTTCCTAGGCGACTCTAACGTTTAGCCTAAGGACGACAAAAGCTGAAAGTACTAGGGAAACAAAGAGCGGAGGAAGAACTGACCTCAAGAGTCGCGTTTGATCGAAGGCAAAGGTTTCTCTCTCTAGAAAATTCGGCAGAGCTTCGCTAGAGTTTATGAACGCACAAGGAGGACTGAACTCTGCCTTGGGGTATTTATAGGCAGATGGGCCTCGAGAACTGGGCCTCAACTCGAAAGCCCATCATTACACGCCGCCGGCTCAACCAATGGGTGGCACCCGCCAACTGAATCACGCCACGTGGAACCCCCCTCCAACGGCTCTTTTCCAACGGCTATATTACAACCACTATACTTCGACAACACTGGGATGCCCTCGAATGATAGCCTCCGGTTATCACTCTCCGCAGCCCTCAGACAACGGGTTCCACCAACACATCATAACTCCTTCATCCCGAACTTGCCTTCGGCCTAAAGGAGTGGGGGACTGGGACAAACCCCTCGGTAATCACACGTGCATGTAGCCCTCGGGTACATGCATCATTGCACCCTTCAGTAGAGGCCTAAAATAAAAAATTATCCACAAAGCCACTGACGAAAATGAAGCAGCCCTCATCACAACACATGCAGGAAATACATCTATGCTTCCCTCAGAAAACCCTCGACGTGTGAGGGACTGAGGGAAGCCTTCGGCAATCAGCAGAAGGCAGCTCTCAAGCAAAAGCACCCAGCGAAAATGGAGAAGCCTCCAGAAGGAGCAACACATCTACTCCTTTTCCCTCAAGTACCTTTCGGCAAAAGGAGTGAGGGACTCCTGATGGAGTATATGGCCCAGGAACCCCCGGCCCATAGACTCCTACTTCTCCTACACAAGTCCATTGAGCTCAGGAAACAACTCAGACCCAAATGCAACGGCCCAAAGCCTCAAAGTAGCCCAAAATACATAATGCGGTGCCTTCGGCCTCCCTGGCCGAAGGCTCCAAAACTCACAAGAATAGCCTTCTCTGGCATAAGAAGCTACTGGGGGAAAACGGGCGAGAACATTAGCCTTCGGCACTGTTGAGCCCTCGGCACCAGGGGAAGCCCTCGGCTGAACCAAGCCTTCGGCCACACGAGGAGCCTTCTGCCACACGAGGAGCCTTCTGCCATACAAGGAGCCCTCGGCTACACGAGGAGCCTTCGGCTGGACTAGCTCGGTCATCAAAGATTCCTTTTGGAGACAGCCAACCACCGCATTTAATGCCACGTCACATCCGCCGACCGCATTCAATGCGGTGAACGTACCACTGCCGGTGCCAACCGGCTGATGTGACCCTTCGGCCGTTGGATTACTGACACGTGTACTCCCATCGCATTTATTGCTGCTATAAATAGCAGCCCATTTCTCCTTGTAATGCAGAGGATCTACATCTCAACTCCACACGCTGAGTTCATTTAATAAATCGACTCTCTCTCCTCCTATTTGCTCTGACTTCTCTCTAAGTTATTCCCGCAATAACCCCTCGGATAAGATACCCCCCGGGTAGACTGTCCATCAATTACATTTCTTAGTAACACAATTCACATCACATTTATTCTTTATTCACGCAATGAGATTCACAATTCTAGAGCTTACAATTGACATTATCAAATGTTATACTTTGAGTAACACAAGTTACATTGGTTACTAACAGAATTCACATCATGATTATTCTTTATCACACAATGAGACTTATAACTCCAGACTTTACCTTTGACATTGCTTAGGTTATATTCTGAGTCATGCGAGTTATATTTGTTAGTAACACACTTTAATCATGCTTATTCTTTATTCACATAATGAAACTCAGATAAATATAATTTAACACTGTCTGGGTTACATTTTGAGTGACACGAGTTACTTTTGTTAGTAGCACATATTTACATTATGTTTATTCTTTGTTCACGCAATGGGGCTAAGAATTCCAAAGTTTACATTTGAAACTATGTAAGGTTACATTTTGAGTTACGGGCATAGGTGAGTTAGATTTGCTAGTAACATTGTTTACATCATGTTTATTCTTTATTCACACATAGGCTCCATTGACTTGAACAAATGAAGATATAGAGCCCGTTTGGTAGTACGAAAATCGGCTGTTTTGGCTGATTCTGCTGAAATTTATGAAGTTCTAGCTGAAGTGGCTGCATTGGCTGATTCTGCTGGCATGATTTAAGAAAAAATTATTTTTAAAATATACTTTATTAATAAAATAAAGAAAAAATTATATGTAAAAATAGTTAAAATGGTCATCTATAGTGACTTCAGCCAATACAGTCAGAAAAGTAACTCCAACCTTACTTTTTCTGCTTATTACACAATTCAACGCGCGAAAACAAAAGATACGTGTTTGGCAAAAAAGTTGGCTGATAAGCCGAAAAACAGTGTTGTCAAACGGCCTATTAATAAAAGGGGTAATGACTTGTATTTGCAATTATTATTTTGTCAATGGAAATGATTAATTTTATTTTGTATTCTTAGTTTTTGTTTAAACTACGAGTTGGGCTGTGTGAACCATTAATCCTATGTGTTTAAACATAGAAATTTACATTTGATAAACTAAGTACCTCTCCAAAAAAACTAAGTACCTACCACTCACACACATATTTTTTTGTTTCATAAAGTACAAGTAAGTGCCCGTTTGATAACACTCAAATTGACTGGGCTGATTCTGGTGAAATTTATGAAGTTATGGTTGAAATGATTCGATTGACCGATTCTATTGATTTATGAAAAAAATTGAAATATTTTTTATTAATAAAATAAAGAAGAATTTATATATGAAAAAAATAGTTAAGTTGATCTTCTACGGTAACTTCAGCCAATACAGTCAGAAAAGTAACTATAACTTTACTTTTTTTTTTATTATTATTATATGATTCAATACGCGAAATAAAATGTTATGTGTTTGGTGAAGAAATTGACTGATAAGTCTGATGAGTCGGAAAATATGGCCCCCAGACGAGCTCTAAATCCGAATGATTTTTATAGTTGTGGATACAAATTTGCGTAAATAAATTAGAATTTGTGACAATACAATCTTATCATTCTTTATTCTCAATGGTATAAACAATGGTGTGTAGCGTATAAATACGTTACGTATAAATATTAAAATATACTCCGTGTATGGTATAGAGAAAGCAATCTCTGTACTCCGTAATAATAAAATAAAATGTTGTTTCACAGTTTACACGTCCCATCTTCTATGCACTTTCTCTTTCTCCCTCTAACAAATAACAAATCATTAAATCTCCCTTCCACCTCTATTCTCTTGCTTCTGTGTCTCTTCCTATGGCTGCTCTCCCTACTTTCTCTCTTCATACATAAATCTCTCTCTCTATATCTATATATACATGTCCTCTTCTTCACTTCACTTCACCCACTCAGATCATCACCTTTCAGCTTCACACAGAATACAAGTTTTTCTCCGATTTTGAAACCCCATTTCTGCTTAAAGCTCTTCTCTTATTCTTTCCCTGAAAGCTAACTTCTGTAGTAAATGCGTCTGTGCGGGGGAGGTTTTATGTATTTTGCATCACTAGATTAGTTCATAGTCCATGGTTCTATTTATAGCTTCGCATTTGAATTTTTGAGTGCTAGTTAGTGTAGTGAGGACTAAAAGCTAGCGATGTTGGATCTCAATTTGAGGGCAGTCTACGATGAGAGCAGCTTCGAGAAGCGTCTGGAAGGTTCCGGGCCTGATGAATCGGCGACCTCCGACTCGTCGATGCTGAATGGCGAGGCTTCCAGCAATGCCGGCGACGAAGACACGTGCTCCACGCGCGCCGGATACGGCGCTGCCTTCGATTTCAACATCCTCCAGGCGGGGAGCAGAAACAGCTACGGCCGCGCTGGGTATGAGAACCGTCAGGCGGCGCAGCCGGAGTACGTCACTCGGCAGCTGTTCCCGGCGGGTGAGAGCGCGGGTCAAACATCCGGGAGGTTTGACTGGGAGGTAGATCCCTCGTTCCATCAGGCGGGGATGCTAATGGAAGAGCGGAGACAACAGGCTCCGCCGCCGCCGCCGGCGGCTCAGCGGCAACAGAAAGTGAAGAAGAGCAGGAGAGGGCCGAGGTCTCGGAGCTCACAGTACAGAGGAGTGACTTTTTACAGAAGAACTGGTAGATGGGAATCGCATATCTGGTAATTGCTCACTCACTATTATTAAGAACCGATTTTGGTTCTTGCCGATAAGATGATTTCCTTTTTCTGTTTTGTTGTTATTATTACTTAATTCAAAAGTTGTTGGTTGCAGGGACTGTGGGAAACAAGTATATTTGGGTGAGAATAATGTTTTTTTTATCACTTTCCTTATTTGGTTAGCTACAATGCTTTTTTGGCTCTTAGTAGTCAGTTTTCGCCATTTTTTCCTATTTTGGGTAAGTTCTACTCATGACCTTTGACTTGGGTTTCACCAGGCGGATTTGACACTTCCGATGCAGCTGCTAGGTAAGGACATATTAATCGTCTCCCACCTTCAGTCAAGATTCTTTTTTTCTGGAGTTAATTTGTCCTTACATATATACTCTTCTAAAAAATGTTGCAGAGCATATGATAGAGCTGCTATCAAGTTCCGTGGGGTTGAAGCTGACATAAACTTCAATTTAAATGACTATGAGGAGGATATGAAACAGGTTACAAATTGCAGCATTTCATTATGTATAAAATGATAATACACTGTTGGAGGCCAGTGACTATGAACTTATTGACCTAGATTTGGGGTGGGCTTTGTTATATGTGTCTTGGTTGCAGATGGAGAACCTCAGTAAGGAAGAATTGGTACACATGCTGCGACGGCAGAGTACTGGGTTCTCCCGGGGAAGCTCCAAATACAGAGGTGTCACACTGCATAAATGTGGGCGATGGGAAGCTCGGATGGGGCAGTTCCTAGGAAAGAAGTAAGTCCTGAGACACTTTTATAAGACCAAAATGGTTGAATCTCTTGAAATTTTGGTTAAAATAGTTGAATTTTGCTGTTCAAATAAGTGAGCTTTGTTGATATTGTAACTAAAACAGTTTAATAAATGTTGTAATTTTGACTGAAATAGTTGAATCCGTTTAAATTGTGTCGGTAAAAATAGGTTTTTTTAGTTATATTGGAATTGAGTTTCAAATAAATTAAACGATAATAAAATGTACAAATGAGTCACAAGATTCATTTCTTAATTCTTGAAAGAAAAACTCACGTGCCATTCTTTTAATCATATGATGACATTCAGCTATCATAATTGATTAAATTTGCGTATGGTGAAAAAAATGGCTGAATATGTTGTAAGCAGGAAAAATGTTGCCAAACAGAGTTTTGTAATATTGAGTTGACTGTTCAGAGTGCAATTTTATATTACTTGTTTGAGTTAATTAAGAAATGTTATTAGAGGCCTGTTTAGAGAAATAAGTCATTCTTTTTCCAAAAAAATAAAGAAATAAGTCATCTTGATCCTTTTATAGTGGGGATTGTGATGCTTATACATTGCAGGTATATTTATCTTGGGCTATTCGACAGTGAAGTTGAAGCTGCAAGGTACAAATTATGGAATCATTACCCCTAATTCTCAACCTTATATAACTACATTAATATGTCCAATCTTTTTGAAAAATTAATATTCCATATCAGGGCTTATGATAAGGCAGCTATTGAATGTAATGGAAGGGAGGCTGTTACTAACTTTGAGCCCAGTATGTATGATGGAGGAACCACCATAGACTCTCATAATGAAGGTATTTGCTTAATCTTATGGTTGATGTGTTAACTAGAAGGCTAATGCTGATGTAACCACCTGTGGTTTGGTTTATCATATTTTTCACTTTAACCCTTATGTTTTAAAATAGAAGAACCCATATTTGGACCGATTAAAAGAGTTGAGTTTGCTCATGTGATGAGTATGTTGTTAATAAATATACGGATCTTATTTTTATCTAAGATATATAAAAAAATGTCTTTCGAATGGTGCAGTATTTATTACGTAGTATATCGTATTCATAATTATTACGAGTACAATCCTCTGTCCTGAATTGTTTTGCCATTTTCAACAACGCGAAAATTGTAGGGTGCAGATTTTTGCGATGGAAAACAAATTAATATAAACTACATATTTGTTTCCTTGAGGGAAAATGGTAGTCTTTTGGGAACACTTATCAATGTTGGTAAATTCCAGATTTAACATTAACTTATCTTGCTCCCCTACAGGTAGCCAACATGATCTTGATCTGAACTTGGGGGTTAAAAGCTATCCTCCTGATCAAATTGTGAGTATGGGGGAGTTTCTGGTACCATATTATGCTTCTTGATTTGGTAAAGCAAAGTTATTCATCAACTTTATATCTTCCTGATATTAGTGTCTGTTTTACACTTTTACCCAAAATTACTCGGTTCAGTATAAGTTTCTGCTCAATTTAAAATGAAGGGTCTATTTGGAACTATGTAAATGGGGAGGAAAATTTAAGTGAAGTTTGGAAAGGAAAGTGTTGCGGGGAAATAAAACATTGGTTCAAACTAGTTTTTTTTGTTCAAATTCATTTTATTAATATATTTACTCACATTATGTAGAGTAAAAGTTAAAACCTTGAGTAAAAACTATAGAAATACTAAGCAAACAAAACACAAGAAAATAAATTCAGCATTTTATATTATGTTCACTGGCATTTTCCGGATCCAAACAAAGTGATACGTGACTAGGAATCAAACAAGTTCATATAAATGTCAATACCCATTTTGTTCTATGAATTCCTTCATAACAATTATAATACAAAGAAACATATTCTGCATCTCCCCCTTTACTTAGTTTCTTGTGGGTAGAGAGAGGCATTTACATTTTTTAATGTCTTCCGACTACAGATGAATAGTTTTGGTCAAACAACATTCGGTAGTTCACATCCAAACCTACCTCAAATGACATCAGAGCAACCTCAATTGTTGAACGGATTCTACTCTCAGTTCTACCCTAATTACGAGGTAAGCCTTCTGCTAGTAATCACTTCTAAAGTAGAATTGTTAAGTGTATGATTGGTAAGAAACATTTCTGTTTTTAGTTATAAATCAATGCCTAAAATTCAGGGTATCTGGCTTAAATGGTTGAATGCTGCATTTTATTAAAGTAAATGCATTTGGTAGAATCGGTTTCGGCCAAAATAATAACTCAAATGCTTCGTATGTATCCCGATTAATCTGCCTATAAGCTGGGTAATGCTTCCAAATGGTCCTTAACCTTGCAATTTAGTTGAAGAACATATGATGTGTTTCTTTTTCTTTTTTATCTTGTGCCTTGTGTGAGAAGCCCAATCTTGAAACCGTGTGTGGCTCTTTTTAAAGCTTGGTAGAACTGTATATATGGTCTAAGTGCCAATTAAGTATCAATGAACAACTTGATCCTGGTACACCGTAACAAAGAGCACATGAATTTTCGAAATTGTTCTCGTCATATGTGCTCTAAGCTTTAGTATCCTCTAATCTGGTTTCTAAAGATTAAATCTATATTATTGTGCTGTGGGTTGAATATTACTGTGCTGAGAACCACAACTGATATTTAGATCATATGCTTCAATGGTTTGTTGACAGCAAACAGCAAATGCTCAAAGAATGTCTATAGGCTCTTCATCGCAAGGATCCCAAATATGGATGCGTGAAATGCGCTATCAGGCCGAAGCGACTCCATGGGCAATGTTGCCCACTACTACTGCCACAATTGCAGCATCATCAGGATTCTCATCTCCGGCTAACCTTGATTCAACATCATCCACATCCATGAATCTCAACTTTGGGCCTTCTTACTCCACTCCATCAAACAATGCTTCTCACTACTATTACCATTTCAGGCCGCCACTCTAATCCAACCTACATAAATTAGTTTCTTTCATTATCTTCATTCATTGGTATAATTTAAAGTGTTGGTTGAACACAAACTAAATCTGGGTAGGATTCTTTGTCCACTCCAAGATGTCAAATGATGTTTCAGTTTTGATACTAGATCCCCAGTCCATAAAGTTCACATATGTTGAAAATACATTTATCTTTTGTGTGGTAACATTATTTATTACCTTCATCCATGAAGGTGATGAGCCAGTTTAGTATATTTCTTAGATTTTATAATAGCGTCAGCACATGACATAAGATTTTGTTTCCATGCATGTTCATGATTATATTCAATTTTACACTTCAGGATCATGGTGTTACTGCCTGTAATAATTTTAATCACTTTTTTATTTTTGAATTTTGTTTGTGTAATATTTTAATAAAAAACCCTTCAAAATTAGTGTCGGAAGAACAATTGAAATCGCTAACTTTCTTATAGTCAACGAGATGGATTTCATTCCAATGCACCATGAGTTTCTGAGAGCAACGTATCATGAATGTTCCCAAACGTCCCTTAAGGGCATCCCAAAGTTCTTTGAAACATTCAAAGCACTTGCATTTGTCTTTTCAGATGGTGCTTCACCTTTCAAATTTTTGGGGTCAATGAGTTTGGTAGAGTAGTCAAGTCCTTCTGAGTCCAATATGTCAAATTCAAGTTCAGTTGGGTGAGTCATCTTAGAGTCCAATAAACGGCGGTAGATGATTTTGTGGAGAAGTGATGAATTTCCGATTTACCTTCATTGATTCACCGCTAGTTTTGTCAAAAATGGAGGGAGCTGTTTCATTATCCAGTGCAATGAGGGAGAGAAACCAATGAGAAAAGAAGGTGAGGGCCACTGAAGAGATTAGCTAAGGAGACAGAAAAATTATTTAGCCCTAGAGCAAACATGCTGATAACGTGTTGTAGGGAGTGAGAGATGTGTGTTATTTCATTAATAAGCCTCCTTTAAATAGGAGGAATTAGGATTTACAAGAGGTGGGCCAATGAGCCATTTAATTAAATACATACAAAATCTAGATATTCTTTCTATCTCTAACGAATGCACATTACAGATACTCCCTCCGTCCCTTAAAACTTTGTCATCTTTCCTTTTTGGGACGTCCCAAAAAACTTTGCAACTTTCCCTTTTAATCAATATTTTGTGGTTCCTGTTATTTTTCTCTCTTCTACACAAACCTCAACCACACAGTTTTTACTTTATTATTCTCCGTGCCGGTCAAACATGACAAAGTTTTAAGGGACGGAGGTAGCAATACTCTTCAAGGAGTGATAGTTGCATGTACTATGTAGGTGAGAGAAAAATAATATATACTGCGTACCATAAGTTTTAAAATTGTGACTTTTTAACACCCAAACTCACAAAATTGGCAAACATTTTAGTCTCTGTGAGAGTATTACGGAAGGCATGAAAAAGTGTTATGAGAAATATTATGGAGTAATACTGAAAATGCGATACAAGAATTGAGCCTATAAGTTAATTTTATCATGATTTTTTTTTTAAATAGAAGTAAAATCATTTTAGAATTTCAAAATGAAGTTCGGTGTTTTCGTTGGATTTCGGCTGCGCTAGGGAAGGACAGAGTCAGGAGGGCGTTAGTGTGGTGCGAATTGGGCTTCGGGGGATCGGAATTGCAGTGGGCTTGAGACCGGGGAGGCTTTGGGGATGGGTTTTGATTGGAGGCTGAGGTTGCTGGATGGAGACCATTGCCGAACGATATCGGAAGATGAGCATGGCAGACAAGGAGGCGGAGCTGGTTTGTGATGATGTTGAAGCCGAGGAAGATTCCAGTGAGGTGGAGCGGCCAATCTTCCATGTGGTGGGCGCGCTAATTACGGACAGGAAGATTAATTTTCCAGCATTCAGAGAGACGATGGCGTCGATTTGGAGACCGGGAAGAGGCGTAGAGATCAAGAAGATCGAGGAGAAAAGGTATATTTTTAACTTTAATCATCCAGTTGATGTAAATCGTGTGATTGATGGGGGTCTTATCTGCGTGTTAGAGCATTGTATTAATGTAGAAGTAGAAACTTCTATGAAAAGGGGCACAACTCTGAAAAAAAGGGAGTTGGATATTGGGTGGGTTTTCAGTATGAGAAGTTACCTAATTTTTGTTTTGTCTGTGGAGTCATCGGGCACTCTGAGAAATTCTGTCCGCTTATGTATGAGGAAGGCTTAGTTCTGGAAAAAAGGTTTGATGCGTCACTAAGGGTAGGAGGTGGGGTGAAGACCAGCCCTACAGGAAAAAATAAATGGTTGGTTTGGTAGGGTTCTTCTTCGGGTAGGAATTCGCAGAGATGGGAGGATCAGGTGTCGGGTGGAAGAGCACAAGGGGAAAAGGAGGATACGGTGGACTTGGGTAGTGGCTCTAATAAGGAAGTGGTTCTGAAACATAATGAAGAAGCTTCTGGAGAGCAGAAACGCAGGCGCATTTGTGAAATAGGAACAACTCAAAACCAGGGAGGGAACGAGATGGCTCTGGATGAAACAAAAAACGGAGGGGCGACGGGCTTAGAGGGGTAAGCTTGTAAAGGGCAAGAAAGAGGCAAGAGGGGTCCGATTGGTGTTGCATTGTTCTGATTGGAGGATCCGGTCATTTTATCTTTTATTGCTTTTTTCTTTTCGTTTCACACTGTTCTTTATTTTCTTGTTGGTTTTTTTGCTTTGATTCTGGTTGTAAAACGATGATTCTGGATTTGGATGTGGGTGATAATCTAACTGTGATTACCGTCACTAGCTCAGTTGTGCCCTCTTTTGGATCATCGAGTTATATTAATGAGGTGATTAACTCTGACTCTAGTTCGCGAGACGGCGGTTCTCTCAAGTTACATTGTCTTTTTACCTACTCTCCAAATAGTTTAATTTTAATGTAAGCCGCTTTCATCCAAAAAAAAGAAAATTTCAAAATGAAGTGTTATATATTTATTTAGTAAATATGAGTAATCATTTATTAACTCAAATTAGGTACAAATGATGCATTATTAATGTTAAACACGTAACTAAGAAAGTGGTCTGGATACCCTCGCTTCTTAGGGTTTTGATTTTTTCATTCGTCTGTCGAAGGTTGATGCTTGCTTACAGTCTTCACAATTAATTTCGTTTGGGCGGCAGGACAAGTCTTTGCGAGGGAGAAGTTGATTTTCTTGTTCCCGGAGTGTGCTTGGCGATTATAATACGATAGCACAAAGTAAAAACCAGATTATTATACATTTTGGCATTTGACGAGGTGCTTTCTATGCTGAATGTGAAGGCTTGACCGATATTGTGAATTTGTGATGAAAAAGAAGCATAGTGAGGAAAAAGATGTACTATTGTCGGCTCGTCCCCTTCCTGAACCGCCTCTGTGAAGGGATTGTGTGACTAGGTTTGGAAGACGTTGCCTCAAGTTTGGATTGGGCGACACACAATTTATTGCTCTATATTTCTTTCCAGCTTTTTTTTTTCGTTATATTTCTTTCCAGCTTGATTAATATTTCCTTAGACTTTTTACTTTGTTTTTTGTTTGTTTGTGTTAGTGGTTTTCTTGAGGTGCTAATGAGTGAAGACCCCAAATTTGAGGTAGTCACCCCAAGGTTTTAAATAGCCGTAGCGGCAGCGGTAGCGGTAGTGGTCATCGCGGTAGCGGCCTGTAGCGGCCTGTAGCCGACTGTAGCGGTTGCAGCGGTGTGAAATATTTTCAATTGCGCAAAACATAAATGTATTTTTTTCACATCATTCACACAACATTTAATTTTGAGTTTCACTCCATGCATCACCATTAATGTATTTTTCACATCATTCACACAACATTTACACATTTACACATCAAACAGTTCGTGATGTACTGCCGGAAATGTCAATAGCGGGCGGCGTAGCGGATTTTTCCTGTGATTTGGAAATCACACACGAATAGCGGGCCGTAGCGCTAGCGGCCTCTACCGCGACCGCTATATAGCGGCCGCTATAGCGGTAGCGGGCCGCTATTTCAAACCATGATTCACCCCATATATGTTGTAGTGGCTTATACCTTATAATAGGACTAAAACACAGTAGTTTTTTTCCTCTTTTCAAAATAGGGCCAATTCGTTTTTTTAATCATAAAAGAGCGGGTGTTATATTAAAATCAAGAACACATACAAGACAATCCTCAGGCAGAAATTACAGATTCAATCGTGAACCCTAGGACTAGATTTAGAGTCAGCCTCCCTCATACAAAGCAACATGACTCGCTAAATCTGAAACGGGCAAATTTAGGCCTAAAACGAATGGAATCGAAACTCTGCCTATCAAAAGAACTCCAAAAATCCAAACATTCAAACCAAATATACTCGGACTGAAACGAAAACAATTGCAAGTAAAGAGAAAATAACACTGAAATAAAAATTTTTCACAAAGCTTTCCCTGGTATGGAGGTGGTTCCGGAGGAGGACGAACTCTTGCAATATGGGTGAATAGCAACTCCACCACCGCTGGAATGGCCGACCCAGACTTCACGATCCAGCCTCGATACAACCTCTCAGCCGCAATTCATTCATCCGTCAACTCTATTTCCTTTGACGTAGTTGCAATCCCAAGCGTTAGAACACTTAAAATCAGTATAAACTGCCGCTCCAACCCCATATTGATAGGGCGGCGGAAAATCTTAACCCCTACAAAGAGGGGAGACGACCACTAGGGTTTCTCTCTAGAGTGAAGAAGAGAGCGCCAAACTTTTTTTTTTTTTTCAAAACCGAAATTTTATTAAAAAAAAAGTACAAAGAGAGGGGGACCAAACCAAAACCTCCCAATGAAAATAGATGGATGATAACAAAAATTAATGAGTGAATCTAAGAGAGTGCCAAACATGTCTATTAATTAATAACTTGTGCATGTATGTATAAATAGGACCAATTAGTTAAACATTCGTTGAATTCCCACACCGAAAACTGGTGAAGGAATTAAATGCTATATTAAAATTTGGATTACTCCTCCTATCACGTTGACCTTTTGGGATGGAATCCTGGATCTTAGTTAACATGGTATTAGAGCCAAATCGATCCATGGTGTGGCCCTCTTATGAAAAATGATGACATGATTATAAAAACAAATGAAAACAATGAATCGATGAAAAAATGAATGACCGCACGATCCAGACGAAATGTCTCGTCATGAGGAGGGTGTTGAATTCCCACACCGGAAACTTGTGAAGAAATTAAGTGCTATATTAAGATCTTGATTACTCCTCCTATCATGTTGACCTTTTAGGATTGAACCCCAAAGCTTAACATTATTAAATACGATTTTTTATTTGTGATTGGACCAAAATACTGCCCCAGGGTTGTTGGACTGTCTCCGCAGCCAGAAAATTTTCCAAAAATTTTTCTGATGATCTGTTAGCATTTTCGCCGCCGCTACCAATGCCGGATACTTTTGCCACCACCACAGACCCCCCCCCCCACCAACGGACTGCACTGGTTGTGCAAGAGAACTAGGGGCAATTATTTTGGTTAATTAATTAATCAATTGAATTAGGAGTAAAAATGGAATGATTAGTCCTGTTTAGGGAAAAACAAATAGAAATTGCTTTTAATAGGACTAAAATTTAGACAAAATGCTCAAATATGACTACAAGTATTTTATTCCCAAAATAGGACTTATTTGATCGTATTAAAAGTATAAAAATTTTCATATTAGGAGTGAATAAGTCGTATTTTAGGAAGAAAACAATGATAATCCTATATGTGCACCTTTTTATGTTTTAGTCCTATATAAAATATTTTCTCAAAATTAAACATTAGATCCTATTTTTGGAAAAAGCCTATATTTTAATTCTAGCAATATCAATTTTCTCTATGTTGTAATCCTACCCAAAAAATGTATTCCAAGGTGTTAAAGTGGGTTGGGACTTGAACATCTTTGAAAGGGGAATTACGTGCCTTGTTTCACCCGGTAGAGACTAGAGAGTAGCGAATGAAGCAGATTGTTCCGTGGATGGCAGTGGTGCGAAAGGAGTAGGGATGTCAAAAAAAACCGACCCGCAATGACCCGCCCTGGCCCGAGACATTTGGGGCGGGTCCGGCCCGCCCCGTCTTGCAAATGGGGTGGGTCCGCCCCGCCCCGCCTATACAATGGGGCGGGTCTGGGTTTTAGTATTGACCCGTGCTGCCCCGTCCCGCCCTGACCCGCCCTGCTCATAAAATATACTTCAACATTCATATGTGTGTATACAATAAATATTAATTTTTTGATCTTATAATATATTAATATATATATATTAGAATGAGATGAACGACGATTATCAATGTATGCGTTATATATAGCATTTTAATACATATATTCAATTATTAATATAATTAAATAGATTATCTATTCAAGTCTGAGTAATTTTTCCTCAATTTTTGAAATTTTTAGCGTATCATGAATTTGATTTAATATATTAATTTTTAATTATTATTCAGAGATAAACTTTATGTAGATTCAATTGGTAACAACTTCCCACAAATAGAAATACATAATAGGTAATTAGGTTACGGCGGGGCAGGTCACGGGTCAACAAGTTTGGACCCGTGCAGGTCACGGGGCAGGGCGGACCCGCCCCGCCAAGTCATGGGGCGGGTCCGGGTCTTGCAGTACCCGCCCCGCCCCGACCCATTGCCATGCCTAAGCAGGAGCAACAGTTTTATTTTATTATCTTTTTACCTTTTAATTTCTTTGATCATACTGTTTGCTTTCCCTTTTGGTGTGTTTTTTGCTGTAAGACTGTGAGTTTAGATTTGGGTGATGAGATGTCTGCTTTAACCGTCTTTGGCTCAGTTGCGCCCCGTCAAGGATCGACGAGTTATATTGTTTCTCTGGAGGTGATTAACACTAAGTCTGGTTTGAGGGTCGGCGGTTGTCAGTGGTCTTTTTGTCGATATACCCCATATCTGAATGTTGTGATATCAATTTAAGCCCACTTCTTCCAAAAAAGAACGTTGCATTATGTAGTGTAACTTTTTTTATTTATATTCCATTTTAAAAATATATATAAAAAATTTCATAAATTTTAGAAAGGTTTTAAGTGCTAAAATTAATACATAATCGTTAAAATATTATTTTTATGTTGGAGTATTTGACATTTAAAGTCATAATTACTCACACGAAAAAAAGAATTTGTCGAAAAAAGAAGTATAACTCTTGTCACTTTAAATATCAAGTCCAAACTTAATTTGTTCAACACCTAATAGAATGAAAGATTTTTTCTTTTAAATTTTGTTTGTAAATAAAACATGAAAATCGTTTCAATAAAAGTTGGGTCATCATAGTAGAATAAGACGTCTAGTTCAAGTTCTTCACAATGTTAAAAAACATATTGAATACGCAAGTATAAATATAAACATCATTACATTTTCAAATTCTAGGAGCATTATTTATACTAAATCTCACATATACAATCATCTTGAATATTACGTAGTATAAAGAAAAAATATATCGAAACAACACGAATTTATTAGGGTTACTTTTATAATTATGAAATTTCCTTTATGGAACAAAATATCATTTGTAACAAAACGAGATTAATGTATTCATCCTCATCCGTTTCCATAAATTAAATTTGAATTGTTGTGTGACTAAATATCATCGATTATATTTTTATTATTACTATCATTATTTCTATTATTATAGTTATTGTTAATGTCATTATTATTATTGTTGTTGTTGTTGTTGTTGTTACTCCCTCCATCCCAATATAAAAGACACACTTTCCTTTTCGGGCCGTCCCAATATAAAAGGCACATTTCCCTTTTTGGCAAACAAAACAGTGCAAAACAGTGTCAAACAGTGTCCAAACAGTGCTAAACAGTGCCAAACAGTGTTCAAACAGTGTTCACTCTAAAAATGTGTGGAAACGCAAATGTGCCTTTTATATTGGGACAGATGGAGTATTATTATCATTATCATTATTATTAAGTAATACTAGTTATACTTTCAATTTTTTATTTTTTAATAATAGTTCCTTAACAGTTCCTTAGACATATTTTTTGTAGGAACCAAGAACCGAACCGTTAACAAAAAATAGGAACCGAACAGTTACCAATTTATAACTCATGTGTAGGAACCTAACCGAACCGGATTTTAACGATTCGGTTCCAACGATTCTCCGGTTCTTGGTTTCAAAGTCTCACCCCTACCGGATTACAGTAAAAAATGAATTGATTGAATAAATATTTATAAATTGATAGGAAATTTGATTTATAAATATTTTTTAAGATCCACAACAACGAAGGCATACAAATACGAAATACTACATACAGTATGTTTTTTAAAAATTAAAAAAAAAAACTCTTAAAAGATGTGAAAGGAAGTTTGCAGAATTGTTTTGTGTTGTGTAAATGGACAATGCGTGGCTGTAAAGATTACTGTAAGAGAAAAGAAATACGGAGTACTTCTTTGGTAAAACAAACAAATACTACAGCACTTTACTGGGTCAAAATTATGCGACCTGGTACCTTTAGGATCACTGTACAGCAACCAGCACAACAGTACTGCTGCTTCAAAAAGTCGCCATATGGTACTACCTTTTACTGCTCCCTACGGATGGTAGATACAAAAAAATACGGAGTATGTCACTTTAAATTTCAAGAAAGATGTTTGTATCCATTATGTTTGTGTAAAGTTTTTTTCGTGAATCCCATTCACAGAAATTATTTGGTTTGTGAATCGGATTCACAGACCAAAAAAAACATTCGCAGACATGATGAGTATAAGAGTGTGTACAACAAGAATGATTGAATTTAAAAAAGAATGGGTTTAAATTTTGTTAGGCTAGTTGCAACCTTCTCCATAAGTAAATCAGATTCCCCGTCCATTTATATGTAGGTGACAACTGCGGTACTCATTTAAAAAATGGGGTATCGTACCTACCACTCATATGATTGGTCCAAATCATTAAATCATTTTTAATTTAGATTTAAATAATTCAACTGCAACATTCTGATTGGTCCAAGTGGACAAAGGTATGATACCTTTTGGGTACCATAGAATCTACCTTATATGTATTCATTTAGTGAATTCACATTTTTTCTTCAATTCAATATCATCAATATATTTATTGGCAAACTTTTTTTAATTAAATTTTTATTTATACTACTTCAAAAAGTACTTATTGCTTGTGCTTTGAATTTTCGACGTTTTTGCTTTGTAGAAAGTAAGTTGCATGTGTTAATTTTCATGAAAAAAAATTAAGTTTAGGAACCGATAAAAGTAAGAACCGAACCGTTTACTATTGATTTGGTTCTATAACGGTTCTTGAATATTTAGATATGAACAAAACCGATTTGATTAGTTAAGTTTTTTGTAACGGTTCCACTAATTTCATATAGGATGTTGGAGAATCCCATATCAACACTCGATTAACTAATATGCAATAATATGGAGAAATTGAGTAGAAGAACAATAATTCATCAACAATCAATATCGTATATTCATAATGATATAGCAATATAGCATGATACACGTATGAATTGTTGGGAGAGAAAACTAGAGGTGCTCTACGAGAATAGTAGGTGCAGAATAAATTGTGTAGAGTCTAGGTTGTTCGAACCCCTCTGCCTTTATTTATAGGAGAGAAGTCAAGCATCCTATTACAATTAGGAGGGTGGTGCGCGAGTGGGCTGAAGCAGCTAAAAAACATGTTTCTTTCAACAATTAAAAGTCTGCTAATACTAAGACTAATTAATCAAAGATAATTACAATTAATTTGAACACAATAAATAATGTTCTAACAATAATACCCTTTGTGTTCAAATCGCGATGTAGAGCGGATTATCTTTGTGTCGTGTATAGCTATTTTCTATAAACAAGTATGACTTCATAATGTTTGGTTGTTCTTCTGAAATCAAGTAGAATACTTATGGCTTCTGCAAAATCTCCAATGAGAGCTATCTGAACTGGGTCTTCTAAATTCTCAGAATTTTTGAGCTTGACATCACATTCATTCAGAAGGTCTTCTATGATGCGTAGCGTTTCGTCACAATATTTATGAACATCTTCCATCAGTAGGATACGGTTCAAGCCTTTACAATCTCTGTAGATTATCCCAGCTTCAGGATAGGTGGTGATTCGCCTTCTTCAAAGTTTTCAATCCATGGAGCAGTATTCCTCAGAGCAGTAAGATTGACTTTGCTTAAGTTGCTCTCAATAGCCATTTGTAGATCTACTAAAGAATAATACTTGAGATCAGTCTTAACATGTATCTCTTGATGGCATTGAGATCCAATTCTCTGTCTTTCTCTGGAACGTCTTTCAATCTCACATTTCTGTATTCAAAGAGCAGATGCACTAAGTCTTTGGAAACAACATAAGGAAAATCAGCTTCCGACTCTTTGAATTTTGAATCACTCCGTTCTGCCTTTCAAATTCAATGACTGGATAGTTACAGAACCATATATATTGACGGATTTCAACTGAGGTGATTCCAATGATCGAAGAATCGGAATGTTTTTTCAATCTTTCACGATGTGAATAAGGGTCATTCTGATCAGCAGACATGTTCCTCAGCATCCATATCTGTCCTGAAGCAGCAGTTCCTTCAAGATGTTCTAATCCTTAAAGCTCTAATTCATCTTTCTTCTTGATATGTTTCTCACTCCTCCAGATCCTTGGTCGCAGATCTTCTTGAAAACGAACAACGATCTTGACATTTTCCCAGGGTGTCTCAAACTTATCTTCAATCTTGGATTCCTTGGGATGTCTTCGGATCAGATCTTTAACTTGATGTAAATCAGGGAGTGGGGATCATCATAAAATTCTCCTTGGACTATCTCTTCAGGATCAAGTTCCATTAATTCTTTATGGCTTTCTTCTTCAGTTCTCCGATGTAGTTCAGCATTATCAGTGCTTCTTCATTGCTTATTCTTTGTAGATTTTCCTTTTCATCTTGTTCAACCCAATCAACTAACAACATATCAACTTTTGATGGTGCTTTGATTTTCTCAGATGATTCTTTTAGCGCTTTTTCCTTTCTCTTTGATGATCGTCCTTTAGATGACGATGGCTTTGAAAATATAGGAATCTTAGCAGATGAAGCAATAGATGGTGAAATTGTAGAAGCAGATGTAGGAACTATAGGAACCTGTGAATCAGATGTAGGAACAATATCGAGTAAAGTAACACCGGGGTCACAAAGACTTACCGTTGTCATCATACTAGAGACGAGCTCTTTCTGATGGAATGAAGACAATGGTGATTCATATGTTACATTGTCAGGACTTCTTTCCAATCCTTGGTCAACATCCATAGTATACGAGCCTATGGAAGTTCTTGTGAGGACACAGAGTCCTGACACAGTAGGTGAAGGTAAGGATGGTGATGGTGAAGGAAATGAGAATGCTTTGTAAACAGTTAAGGCTAAGGATTGAGATGGGGCTTCAGAAGATGAGGGTTGTTGTTGTGTAGATGATGAAGGTTCAGAGCTAGAAGGTGGATATGAAACTATAGCTAAGGATGCTTGCTCACAAGTACGCGACCTTTTCTCCCCTTCATGATGATCCTAATCATTGGTGTCATCATGCTTATGCTTAGGTAGGCGTTCTTGATCACGGCAAGTGGCTTGGATATATGGTGGGGCGAAGGCTAAGATATCGCGGACTTGGATAAGATGGGGTGGTAGGTTGGTTGCGGTTAAGAGGTGGTCAAGAAAGTGTTCAGAAAGATCTATGATTTAAGGTTTGCGGGATTGGATTGAGAAGTTGAAGGTGTGGATAAAGTAGGGATAGGTTGGATGGTAATGGGTAATGGTGGTATGGTTGTTGGTAGGGTGGACAGATTTGAACCTATAAGAGTGGAGGGAGTGGGGTGTGATCTTTGGTCTGCTACACCTGTTGGGTCAACAGGTCGCAGTTCTTGGATAAGAGAAAGTTTGAACAATGCAGGTTCAGACCTTAGATCCTCCCTAGTAAGACTAGCAAAAGATGATAAACCAGATCTAAAAATATAGATTCTGTTCTCACATCAGTAAAAATAGATGTGTCGTGGCCTGCTGGGAAGTTAAGTGTGGCAGGACTTCCAACCATCATTCGCGTACCTCTGGTTGTTAAGACTGGTGGTAAAATGCCAATGTCAGTGTGTGAAGGAGGTAGTACCCTAGAAAATGGTAAAACATTTGGGATGATGGACACTTGACCTAAGGTGCATGTGGTAACATTGTGGGGCGGTTCACCGATTATTATGGGTTCCCCTGGTATGGTTGAAACAAGCATCTGTTGGGAGACGGTCGAGTGGTCAAAGTTTGGTTGAATTTGCGCCATTGACCTCGATGTGGCGACTTCTACTCGGGAACTAACAACGTCAGAACCAATACCTATGGGTTGAGTTCGGACTATTGTAGTGACTGGGGGTGATGAAACATTAATATTAATAGAGGAGGAGACATCAACTCTCTTGGACTGAGCCTCATCTGCCCTCTTCTTAGGCTTTGTCACTCTTTTACCCTTACTATCACTCGACTTAGAAGTTCCTTGGGCAGACACAGTAGGGTTTGACCGTGTCTTAGGAACAGAAGAAATGTGTACCTTATTTGCAGTGATGAGAGGATCACTTTGATCAGCTAGGTTGAGAAGAATGTCGGGAATTGGCATTAGTTGCATTGATTCATCGTTCTCTTGTTCTTTAAGTTCAATGATGTGAGCTTTCTCGCACTAAAAAATATGTAGTAATATAGGACGCAAGTATGAGTATCACCTCCACAAGGACGGAAAAAGGGAATCAGGAATTAACTAATAAATTCAGCGATTAAAATAAATAAAATGAATGCGGTGTGCGAGATTTGATTGTTGGAGAATTAAACTAATGCGAAAAAGCAGACAAAATTAAGTGGTTCTATCTAATTAATGACGATAGGGAACATGGATTGATTCCGAGTAATAAGATTTCCGGTTGATCAGGCTTAATCACTTGAAAATTATTTAATTGAGCAACGCTGGTCAATATTAAGTTCTAATCGCTCTCGCGGCGTATAGTATAATAATTTAGGGGACTAAGCTGATCTCTCATGTGACAGGTGTCGAAATTATTGCCAAAACGAGCGAGCGTACGTCTTCTTAACCGTTACTAATCTCTTATCGAACGATTAAGTGTGTGTGAAAGTGTCCTAGGATAAATTAGATCCCTCTTAATTTATTCTATGTGCAATTATAATCCTAGCGGCCGTTCTAGGTTACAAAAGATATCAATTACATCATTCATGCACAAATTAAATAAAATTCATGCAATTAAACCATCAAGAAATTAACCCTACATATTAATTAACCCTTTCATCAATCTCAAATCCCTAATTAAAACTACTCACAATTCATAATTGAATTAACAATAGAATTGAGATGAAAAGAATTAATTGTGATTAATTAAAAAGATAGAACTTACAAAGAATCCGAAAATCTTGATGAACAAGGCTTGAGAATCTCTCAAAAGTCGAAATAGGGTTTATCTCTCTAAGCCCCGTTCTCAAAAACGGATAAAACATGGCTGAATTTATAGAAAAACGACAAAAGTGTACGAAAATCGACCCGCGGGGCGTGCGGACGACAGCGCGACCTTCCACGTGTCAAATGTTTGTTCCGCTCGCACGGCGTGCAGATCCCGCACGGTTTGTACCCCTGAGACATGTTTCTGGAACGCGGGGCGTGCGGTTCAGACTTTTTGACTTCTAGCTCTCAGAATCACCCGCAGGGTGCACGGATGTCTCTTGAACCATATTCTTGCTCTTTTCTTCTCTGTTTGTTACCGATCGATCCTATCTTCAATCTTTGACCTTTCTAGCCTCGAATCATGCCTCTAAGTCATCTCTTGGACCTCCGATGCCTCTTGCTATCTCTCGAACGCGTCTCACATCTTCTCAAATTAGACTCTAAGGCCGATGTCGGGTCCGAATACCAACTTTTCTCAACAAATGCCAACCGAACCCGGTAAACCGTGACTTGAGCTAAATAAATGCTTTGTGACGCGAATAAATTAGGAAAAGTCACAAAACTCAATTCCAACACGCATCAAATGCGTGTTGAAATAAGAAGTTATCAAATTCCCCCATTACTAATTCTTTGCTTGTCCTCAAACAAACTGAACTTCGGGACTTATGATAATCACTACACGACATTAAAATTATCAGCATGCACACATATTTAAAGGGACACTCACAGAAATGACAGACTAAATCAAGAAAATTCTTCCCTAAACTACCTATTTGTACCCTAGCTAAAATTACTGACAAAATTAATCACAACATCCTTGAAGTTATGGCAGCACACACAATTAAACTAGCTACTGATCAGAAGGACTTGTGAATGTGGCGGTGAATGGTGAAACAATCCCTTTTCTTTGAGAGATCGGAACAACCTGAGTGTGACTCAATGTGTTCGGGAGTTTCGGGGATATTCTTAGGATCAAGGAATTCAACAAGACACTAATTAGGAACTATCAACTATCTCTATGCAAGGAGTAGACACGGTGTACAACTAAACTAAAACGTCGCTGCACATTTGTGCTTTGACGTATACTTGAAGTACGCGAAGGACTAATGCTAAATTTTCACAAAAGCCTTCAAGTCCAATTTTAATCAGTTTATTTTTCCTTGTCATGTTGGCACGAGAAGGTCATTTCTTTTGAAAGATCACCAAGTCTCATCTTATTGTGCTGAACACTTACGCTTTTTGACTGGGTCTCTCATTCTCTTTTTTCGCAAGGTCAGAGCTAGGTCTAGGTATATTAATTAATTTTTCATTTTTTTTAGATTTTCACTAGACATTACCTCATTCTAATCTCGGCCTCACCAAGGAAAGTTTGCAATTAATAAGGTTCATTTAAAAAGGTGAATCCATGCCTACAATGCAATTCTCGAAAGTATCAAATTCCTAAAAAGTGACTGCTCTTACCCCATTTGGGGCATAGGAACAGTGCCAAAATTGGCTCTTACAAAATTTCCTAAACTTAGCAAATTAATCTCCTAGCACCCTAAACACCAAGACTTTGTCAGAGTTATTTACGGGTGAGAAAACAAGCTATTTGGCAATGGAGCTCAAATTATGGGTAAAGAAAAGAATACACATGCTCAAAATGGTTTCTCCTAAATGACTTATTCAGGTGGGATGAAACTTAAGTGAAGTAAATGGGTAACTAATGCATTCATCATCTCAACAACTAGATTAACAATGCAAGCAATTTAAGCCTAAAAACTTCAAAGACGTTCTAATAGCTTAGTCTAGACTCTAGCTAGCTCACAAAGAAACAATTTTAAAAAAATTACAAAAATTTTGACATGACTCTTCTACAAATATACAACTGACACCTGCACATGCTAACACAATTAATCTCACGTAACAACTACTACCCGCAAGCCCAATTCACTACCCCACGCTTAAACTTTGACACCGCCCTCGTTGACCAAAAATGCATTATGCACAAGGGGTAAAGAAGAAAGGGTCACAAAGTGTTCACTAGCTCAAGACAACAGAAAATAACGAGCAAGGAAAGTAGAAGCTCCCCTGGGTCTTTGGCCAGTTCAGAACTCTATCGAACTTGCAAATCCAACAGCAAGTCATCAAACGCGCAAGAGATCAGGCTGCACACAAACAAACAAGGAAAATCAAAGCATAAAATCCATCATGTAAACCTGCACGGCGTGCGGGTCTCGCACGGTCCAACTGTGCGGGTAATCCTGTGTTCAAATTTGCAATTCACCTGAACCGCACGGCATACGGGTGCCGCACGGTCCAACCGTGCAGCCTCACCTGCAGCTGGTTTCCGAAATCTCTGAACCGCGGGGCGCGGACCCCCAAAATCCATTTTTTTTCCGATTTTTTTGGAAACAAACACAACAACTAAAGCTAAAATGCCAAAATAAGCTCGGGTTGCCTCCCGAGAAGCGCTATTTTTAATGTCATTTGCCCGACGCAATAACCCCACTTAGAAACTCAATTAAAACAAATCCAGAAAACTAGCCCACCACGTATCAATCCCCCTTTCAGCAAACGCCCTAAGATGGCGCAAAACCTTAAATTCATGAAACCACATGCTCATCTCAGGGTCACAACTAAAATATAAGAGTGGGTTTAGGCTTTTATCAGGCCCTTTGTCTAAAAAGAGGCCAAAAACAGTTTCTTTCTGAGGTGAAGGATTTACTCCCTCTTTTCCAAGTGGTTCCATGACATAAAAAAACACTCATTTATGGATTGACAGGACTGTTTTGCCAATTTGGCCATGCAAAAAGTTACTCTCTCCTCACCAACTCTCAGAATTAATTTTCCCTCCCCAACATCTATGAGGGCCCGTGCAGTGACTGGAAAAAATCTTCCAAGAATTAAGGGCACCTCAAGATCTTGGGGCATATCCAAGACAAAGAACTCAACGGGAATCCTAAATTTGTCCACTTTAACCAACACGTCTTCAACAATCTCCTGGGGATATTTGACTGATCGGTCAGCCAGTTGTATGCACATACGTGTTGTTTTAATTGGACCGAGTGCAAGCTTCTCATGCAAGGAATAAGGTGTCAAATTAATGTTTGCACCCAAATCAGCTAAGGCATTATAATAGATCAAATCTCCTATGGAACAAGGGATAGTAAACTTATCTGGATCCTTAGCTTTTTGGGCATCTCTTTCAACACCACTGCTGAACACTCCTCATTTAGCACCACCGGTGATGGTTCCCCCCACTTCCTTTTGTTAGAGAGGAGTTCTTTCATAAACTTGGCATACCTTGGCATTTGCGAAAGTGCATCCATGAATGGTAAGTTAATCTGAACTTGTTTAAAGAGGTTTAGAAACTTATTAAACTTCTCGCTGTCACTTTTTCTCTTCAAGCGTTCTGGGAAGGGGAGAGGTGGGCAGTAAGTTTTGATTGGAACGAGCTGGTTTGGGGCTGCCTCGTCCTCTTCCTTCTTTTCTTCTTCCTTTTCTTCTTCGACAACTTCAGCAGGTTCAACATCTTCAGGCTTCTTCTCTGTGGCTGCTGATTCAAGATCCCTTCCACTTCTTAGCGTGATAGCGTGAACTTGCTCTCTTGAATTATTTTCAGTTTTACTAGAGAATGATCCCATAGGCCTCTCAGATTGGATCTTTGCGAGTTGACCCACTTCCTATATGGGCTGAAGACTTGATGCAGTCATTTGCATAAACTTCTTGAGTGTATCTTCCGTGCTGTTGTGGGCCTGCTGCCATTCAGACATCTTATGTTCTGTCTCCTTCTTTTGTTGATGAAACTGTTGTGCTTGAGGCGAAGCCTACTGTGCCTGAGGCTGATTGTAGTTCAGATATTGCTGTTGGTTTCCATGCCCGTAGTTTCGATAGTGTTGCTCGTTGTAGGGCCGATTGTAGTATACATTCCTTTACACTGGTTCCATTTAAAGTTGTTTTTTTGCAAAATTAAATCTCTTATTTAGAGTATTAACTATTAAGATTTTATTAAATGTCTTAATTCGACATAGTTCAAAGCGAACCGATTTGGTGACTCCCAAGTTCCAAGTCCTAAGTAAAAAAATCATGATAGTGGGCTTTTATTGGTACAAAAAAGTTGACCTCCTAGAAAGGATATCTACAAGGTTGCAAGGCATTGACACCCACACGGGAGGTTGTCATGTTTCTTGTGTCCATCGATCAATTATTCCTCGACAATGAACAAAGCATGTGAAGATGGTTGAACCATGAAGCATACCCAATCACATTGTGGGACACCAACGACCAATCATTACATTACATTATCACCAACCTAATAAATGAAACTATTGTATCATCCGCCACAAGAATTTTATCCTATTAAGGAAAGAAATTAATAATAAAAAAATCCCCTATCTATTTTTTTGACAAACAAATATCTAGCACAGTCATACATGACCGC